AAAAAAAAAATGTCAAGACTTTCAGCTAGCAGCTGAGATTCTTATTGGAGAAAATCTACAACCACAAAAGCAAATACTGGAAACTGCAGTGTCTTGTCAGTTGTTTGTCCTCAGGAAGGTTCAAGAGGTAAAAAGTTATAAAAGCTTTTACAATATTTTGCTTTTCTAATCAGGGCATCAAAAATGCATGTGGTGTAATAATAGAGGCTGTCCCACTGAGTATCCATTCACTCACTTTAAATAATAGTAATAGACATATAAATGATCTCTCCAATAATCCGCGAATCTTTTGCTTCCATTGTTCAGTTGTTTCTTTTGGGTGGGCTTTGTGATAGTTAAGTGCCTTGTGATCAGTGAATGGAAGCTGAGATAGAAACTAGAAATAGAGAAAATAAACTCTTTGCCTTTAAATAGAAGTGTTTCCCGTTTCCTTTTACAAGCCTGAAGGGATGTTGTACATATTAAAACTGCAGCATAGCTCCATCTCTGGTTACAACCCGCCTCTCATTCTCCTCCACCACCCCCCAAGATGTCCAGATCTCTGGGAAACAACAGTTACAAAAGGATGCTTTTCATAGTTTGTACTAGAAAACGCTGGCACTCCTTCCCTAAAATAGCATTAAACTGAGTCACAATGCGGGAAACTGTGCCTTCTGCTCCTCTTCCACGAAATCTAGATCATTTCTAGAGAAATATTAAATAATACTGCATAGTTTCCCTCATGTATGTGAATGTCGTTTCTTCTAAACCCCCATTTGCCCTAGATAATATGAAGCTTTATCCGTCAGTGTACCGCACTAGAAAAAAACGCAGTTAACAAGATGACAGTGTTATCTAGGTATTTGGCATCAATATTAGCAAGAGTCTGTCATTTGACAATTATTTCCCTAGCATGCCAGACGGTAAAGAAAATGTTTTCATTCATCCGCAAATGACTAATATTTTATTGATGTTTCAAAAATGCAGTTAAATACTATTGCACTCTCAATTTCCGAAGAGGATGAGACTTAAGCTTGAATACTAATAACATCAGTAACTCCTGCAGAAAACGTTTCAGTTAATTGCTGAGCTTTGAAGTGTCAGTTCAGCAGGGAGGTGACGCTGGTTAGGGCTCTTCTATCAGTCAGTCTGGGTGGTCACAGGTAATGGGAACCCTTCCCTTTCTCCTCGTATTTCCTCTTGCACTGCGATAAAAATCACTCCAAGCACCGCTACCGCCAAGCAAAAACGACTCCCTGCATGCCTCGTAAAGAGCTCAGTCTGGGGAGGCAGCCGGATGCTGACCCCTGCAGAGATTATTGCTTCTGTGCGCTTTGCCAAAGGACCCTGGTAGCATTATGGAAAGTGTGTTAGGGATGTGCAAGGGTTTTGCGCATTATTTATTTCCTCCAAGGAATGAACTGGGATCGGACGAGAAAATCTGCTGTAAGACTACTTAAGAGGTGTAAGGGTGGAAGAAGGGGAGAAGAGAGGGTGTGGAGGAGAGATTTTTAAATTATTTGTTTCTCTCCTTCACTTCCCCTCTCGACTTCCCAAACTCCTCACTGAATAAGATTGATTGGCGTAACTGCTATTGACTCCAGACTCGGTTCTCGCATTGATCTGCAAATGGCCTGGAACAGCTAAAGATTCTTGAATGTGGAAATGAGTTCAAGAAGGGAAGAAACTGAAAAGGGTTGTGGATCGTCCCCTGCCCAGTACCCCGCTCTTCCACAGACGCTGACAGTGGCTCCAGGACGCCTGACGAGCAACCGAGGGGCTGCGGCGTGGGGTAGGGCTCTGCGCCACGGAGAAGCCAGCCAGTCCGGCTTGGTTTGGGGGCCGTTAAAATAAACAAATAAATAAATAAAGATAAACCCCGTGACTTGTAAAACTGGGTAACTCAGCCCTGCCTAGAATTCAGATGCACTGATCATAGCGCCTGATAGGCTCAAACGGGTTAAACTGCCTCTTACATAACAGGATCGCCAGGGTCTACACAATTAAAGCACTTGATTGCAGTCTCTTCTCTACTCTGCAGCCCGGCGCGACCCGCCCTGTCCCTCCCAGCGCGCCTGCGTGTGGCGCGCGCATAGGTCCCGCGCGCAGTAGACGCGCGCACATACTTATGCGCGCACACGAGAAAAAAAGAGGGAGAGAGACGCATCCATGCCACTTGAACCGCGCCACACAAACACGACTTAGCCTTAGCGTCTATGCGCGTGTGTGCGGGTGGGGGTGAGGGGGTGTCTCTGGCCCACACTCACTGACTTGACAGACACTCCATCTACTCTCACTGAAGGCCTCCTAAGCACCCTGCCCGTCCCCTCAAAGTGCAGGCCCCGCCGCCTTCCCTACCAATTTCCGCTAAGGGGTAGTGAGAGAACTAGTTGGTCGTTTGTCAACTGTAGCGTGACCGCCCTGGCGAAACTAAAAAAAAAAAAAAAATAAACAACAAACC